GCCTCTATCCTCCCATCTCTCCCCTGATGTGCTTCTCCCCCTCTATCCTCCCATCTCTCCCCTGATGTCCTTCTCCTCGCCTCTATCCTCCCATCTCTCCCCTGATGTGCTTCTCCCCCCCCACCCGTGTCACCCCTGCAGGACCATCGTCACCATCATACCTGCTCGTGGATGACGACGAGTCCAGACGCTTCCTCGTAGCTTCGGCAGCGACGTCATGCGCCGTCGCGGTGGCGCCCTCTGTCGCCCCCTGCACCTCATACTTATACGGCGACACAGACGACGTAGGTTTCAGCGTCGGTCCACCAGAGGGCGCAACGGCAGTGGGTCGCAATGGCGGCGCCGTGCTCCGCTCACTGGAGTCACCGTCGGAGCCCCCGTCCAGCGAAGACGACAGAGATTTCACGGGTAGAGGTGACGCCGTCGTGCGGCCGCCGTCAGGCGAGGCCCACTCGTGTGATGGCGACGCCGACGGTGTCGCCACCTGGGCGGAGCCGGGACGACGAGAGTCAGTGTTTTTCCGCTTCAGCTTGATCTTACGTATCGGGGTGACCGGCGCGAGGACGTCGTGGATGGGCTTCACCTCGCCAGGTGGCGCCAGCGCGGAGTCATCGACAAGTGGCGCCTTCACTCCAACTTCGCCGGTTTGCACCAACGAAATGTCAGTCTTCTTTTCGACGCGCTTGATTTTATCATCGGTAGATGGCGCCAGGTTACTTGCAAATATTCTGCACAACTTTTTAGATGGTGGGAGTCTAGGCGTTGACCGGTCTTCAGAATTTGTTCCTAAAGATAGTGAAATATAGTATTATAGTAACTTATATAAGTTCTAGAGAAAATGTTGGAATTTCGATTTTGGAACATTTCTTTTAGGTTCTATAGGCATTTACTCATTTTTGCTGTTTCCATGACTCTAAAATTACCTAAACTTTAATGTGGAATAGAAAAGGGATATTATTATAATAATTTGTTACAAATAAATTATTTTGTCTTTACTAATAATGAGGATCGCAGCATTGTATTTCACCTGTGTGTTCCTTACTGTCCGTCTTTTCAAATATTATTGCCTGGTGTCTAGTCCATTTGGGCACTTCGGTGAACAAAATTGGTTGATGCTTGCCTTTTCCAGGCAGACCTAGATCCGGTTGCGTGCTGGTCTCTAGTGGAGGTACTATCTTATGTCTCTTCTCGCTGATATCATGAAGTGACTTTACTTTCACCTGTAAAATATGAGACATGCATCTATTTAAACACCTTGTGCATATTTCTACATACATGCCAATCACAGCCACTTCATATGTAACTAGAGCACTCGCTCGGAGAGCGCAGACCTCCGGTACAGCGGGAAGGAGGAAAGGGGGAACGACGGGAGAGACGGGAGACGAGAGGCAGAGGAGAACGGAGACGTGACGGGAGAGCGGACTGAGAGACGCGAACTGAGAGAGCGGAGAGAGGGAGAGAGAGGAGCGGAGAGAGAGCGAGATCGAGACGGACGAGGCGAGCTTGGAGAAACGCGGAGAGAGCGAGAGAGCCACCACACAGCCGCCCCCCCCGGCCCACGCCCGACACGGCCACGCCCGAGCCCACCGACACGACCGGCGCACGAGGCGAGACGCGCGCCCGCGAGGACGACGAGAACCGAGGAGAGGGGGCGGAGAGCGAGCACCCGAGAGGGGAGAGGGGCGCTGGCAGAGAGCAGCGAGAGGGAGAGAGGGACGCGCGCGGAGCGGAGAGACGAGAGAGAGCGAGAAAGACAGCGAGAGAGAGAGAGAGAGGAGAAGAGGAGGAGAGAGAGAGAGTGAGAGAGAGGGGAGACGATGAGAGCGAGAGAGAGAGAGAGAGAGAGGAGGGAGACGAGGAGAGCTGACCGATGAGACGGAGAGAGGAGAGAGCAGCAGATTTCTTTAGCAGTATTCGGCCATCACAATGTTAACATTCGTTTTCCTCGGACTTTCCCGGATCCTAAACAATTACTATATTCGCTTATCCAGCAATTACCTAAAATCGTTCCCTTAACCCTGAAAGGACCCTATATCTTCCATCTTTCCCCCTGTGTCGTTCTCACCCCCCCACCGTGTCACCCTGAACGACTGTCACCTCATACCTGCGACCATGTCACCATTCCTGCGATGACCATCGTCACTCGATACCTGACGGGACCATCGTACATTCATTAACGGCTGCAGCAATCGTCACATCACCTGCCGACATCGTCACCATTACTGCAGACAGTCGTCACATCATACCGCTGCTACGCATCGTCACCAGTAATAATGCCGACCATCGTCACCTCATACTGCGAATCGTACATCGATACTGCCACGCCACGTCACCATCATACCTGCACGACCATCGTCACCATCATACCTGCACGACCATCGTCACCATCATACCTGCACGACCATCGTTCACAATATACTTGCCACGCATCGTACCATCATACCCTGCACGACCATCGTCCATATCCTTGCAAGGACCATGTACATCATACACTGCTCGACCTGTTGTGTGGGTGGGGTATTTACCACCACAGTTGTAAACCTCATTCTGTGTGTGGGTGGGGTATTTACCACCACAGTTGTAAACCTCATTCTGTGTGGGTGGGGTATTTACCACCACAGTTGCACACCTCATTCTCTGTGTGGGTGGGGTATCTTCCACCACAGTTGTAAACCTCATTCTCTGTGTGGGTGGGGTATTTACCACCAGTTGTAAACCTCATTCTCTGTGTGGGTGGGGTATTTACCACCAGTTGTACACCTCATTCTCTGTGTGGGTGGAGTATCTACCACCACAGTTGTAAACCTCATTCTCTGTGTGGGTGGGGTATCTACCACCACAGTTGTACACCTCATTCTCTGTGTGGGTGGGGTATCTTCCACCACAGTTGTAAACCTCATTCTCTGGCTGCCATGCACTTATCTGTAGTTGGCTGTCCAATCACACGAGAACAGATTCCGTTCTCCCCCATTTAATATGTGCACTACAGACGGCGCCAACTCTCACAGACGGTCGACACGCGATCAACGAACCTCACGACGATTCCATTGAAGGCAAGCACATCAATCTTAGGTGTCAAGAACTGATCGAACCCATCGCAAGCGTAACGGCGACACAGGTCACGCTGACGACGGGCGGGTCTCGCGATTTTGAGGGGTGCTGCCATCTAGCTGCAGAGTTCCTCGAGTTCCTCGAGCAGCTCGTCTTCGTTGATGTCCTCGTCGTTGAGGTCATCCACCGTGCCATCAAGCAGCAGGTCCTCATCGAATTCCTCATCGAATAACGAGCCGTTAGCTGTAGCTGCGAGGCGGGTGGACCTGCGAGACAACAAGCATGAGCGATCAGTATGAAGAGCAACATGTAACACGTGGAACGGCCCGCAAGAAAAATTCGCTCGGCAGCACAAGTAGTGTAACGTAGGTCTTTGCATCAAGCGAAAATTACACTGGCAAGAAATGGGAGTAAAATGAGGCAACAGGCACAGCAACAGTGAGAGAGCAAGAGGAGAGAGAGAGAGAGAGAGAGAGAGAGAGAGAGAGAGAGAGAGAGA